CTGTGCCGCGTCTGGAGGCAGGTTCAGGCAAGCTGGTGAACATGGGCCCTTGCCACTGTCCCCACAAGTGTTTTTGCTTATTTTCATAGCAGTAAATAAGTAACTAAAAGTTTGTTCTTGCTAGATTTTAATTGAAGTTCTTTCTTACTGGGATTTGCCCTTTTAGTTGGTGTGTGCTTGGGTTGGTTAGTTGCGTTTTATGCAAAAACGGACCTGTTCGCTGCTGGATGTTGTCATCTCATCTGACATCCTATCTGCTTCCTTGCTGCTAGAAGGGAGCTGTTGGGGCAAAAGAGCAAAGTAGTCTTTGGCTAAATGAAGATGTAAATAAGTATGAATAAGATATGTTTGTATTGTCCGTTACTGACAGTAAATCTCAAATATGTGAAGCACAGTATAAAACCTGAAAAATAATGATGGTACAGGTATGTACGTATGCCTGATACGATTTCTTAATTTTTCCCTAGTATTATGCTGTTTCATAATTCTGTGGCAACAACTGCAGAAGAAATACAAAAAGGTCTTTAAGTGTTGTTTTTTCTTTTTGGTGGTGTGGGAGGATACTTTGGGTGTAGAATGTGTTGTAACGCTCCCCACCTTGCCCTTTATTCCACTGGGATCTAATTAATATACAGAAACATTTATGAAAGCTTTGTATTGAGTGATACCTATAAGCAACGTGTCACTGTTAGCCGAAGTCCATTTTGTACATAGATTTTTGTTAAACCAAAATTCCCAATCCAGGAATTTTTGGCTGTCAGCCCAGGTACTTCAGATGCAAATCCTTTTAGGTTCTTAAAATCGTAAGTTCAGTTTGCAAGTTTTGTGAAGAGTGAAGAACTTAATTCAGGTACTAAGACTTAATTAGATCTATGGTTTGTGTGTTTTTGTGTTTTTTGTGTTTTGGTTTTTTTTTGTTATTATCTAAGTATCAGTTTAATCTGGAAGTCACGTCTGTGTTTTCAGTAGCATTTGAAATAATTCTGGCTCCTAAAGCTTCCTGGCTTCATATAACACAGTTCATCTACTACTTACTGCATTGCAGGCTGTGTTTTGTGTGTTGTTTTTTTTTTTTTTGAACGAGAACTTCAACATAGTTTAACTTTTTTCTGTGTACACGTATACAGAAAAACAATGCACATCTGTTTGTGTGTCACTGTTCTCAACAAGAGATCCTGTTTCAGTAGGTCAGCAGATCTTGAGTTTAGTCTTGGTAATGTGTGTGTTCACATGGATGTGAACTGGACCACGCAAGAAGTTCACACGAAAGTAGTTCTTAAAAAATAAATCAGGACTGTATTCTGAGACTAAAATTAGATTTAATTGTTTAGTTAAGCTGAAATAGGAAGCTTTTGGTATTCAAGATAACATCTGCAAGGAAAGATGAAATCTTTCCTTTGGCAGCTAAGTATCTAATTATTTGGCATTGTTTCTTTGTTTTTCATTAATTTTCTTCTGCAGTGCTCTTTAACTATGGGGAAAAAGCATTCTTGATCTGGCACATAGCTCAGCATGCAATCTGTATGTTCACACGGGGCTCAGCAGGTATATGCGAGAGTGATTTCTGTGCAGGTAGGCCAGGTTTAGTGTGGAGGCTGAAGTGCGTGCTGGGGGAGGGAAAGAAACCCTCCTGTACGCACAAGTGATACAAGCAGTATGCCTTGCTGGCAGAAAAGGTGCAGCCCTGGCTCTAGTCACTGAGTTCCCTGAAGCTCTTTCTTTTTCTACCTGTCCTGGTGCAGGTGCTTGTGTGATGCCATAAGGAGCCAACTGGTAATTGAGACTGTTTAAAAACAGAACTTTTTGTCAAGGTTGCTTTTAATGCGTGGGTCAGTTTTCTTGCTCACTGAATATCTGAGCCAGAACAAATAAGGGAGGGAAAGTGGATTTGAGGATGAAGGCCAGAAGGCAAGGCTTCCTCCAGGACAGTCCTCATTGTTGCCAGCTTAAGTTGTTTGGGTTATGGGTTATGCAGTGTTACCATGTAACATCTAGAAATGTAATACAAGTTCAAAGACTACATTTTCAAGTGATACACAACATTAAGGAGAGTAGTGGTATCAACTATGATCAGTTTTGAGCCCTGGGGCACAATATACCCTGTAACTAACTGGAATGTGTGAATTTGAGATGCAAAATACCCTCAAGATGTCTGTTACGGTCCACTTGACCACTCAGTGCATGGTTAAATTAGAAAGGACACACAAATTGTGACATACATGAACAGACAGAGTGGCTGACCATAGAGCTTGTTCTGCTTAAATGCATTGAACTTCACTGAAATTGGCATATAGTTTATATACATATATTTTTGTATATACAGCTTTAATATGACACTTTTTTTTTTACATTGGCCTATGTTTTGCAAAATTACTTGTTACATATTTTATGTTTAGTGAGTGAATTCACCATGGTATTCACTTGGGTTTAATGTGTAACAATGCTTTTGTGCCTTTTAATTAAATTATATATCAGACATTTTATGAGCTTTTTAAAATTTTCACAATCTTTTGTCTTTTGTAAATTCAGACACTGAATATCTAATGCGTTGGATTATCGCATAGACTCCTTGATCATGTACCTTACCCATCTTCTGGGGCACAGTTCTTGCCAAACGGAAGAAGATGTGAGGTATTAACTTCAAACCTGAGTCTCAGGCTACCCTTTTTCCCATGCCAGGAAGAATTGTGAAGTATTAGTTGGCATCTAATGGATGAGTTAACGCATTGCAACTGAACACAGAAGCAGAAAGTAGAATAGCAATGACGTTTTTCCAGGACTCAGTCCAAATGAACTAAGTCCAATTTTCCCAGAGAAAAGGGAAGTTGTTGGGATATCTACCCAGGATGCTGGCTATTATTTGTGATACAGTTGCCTTTCAGTTTGAATTCCGACTCTTATTGCTTGTACTAAATGTAACTAATTCCGTATAGAAAAGGATGTAAAATCTATGCACCACAGCCTGTAGGTACACAGATCAATAGAAGTGTCACTTCTGATGAAAGTTGTTTTCTGTGGTTTTCCTTAATTCTGTGGAGATTTTCTTGTATGAAGAAGAGGTCTGCATCCATATGGGTATGGTTATCCTAGAATAACTAGCTTATTTTTATGTATGGGTGGTGGTGGGGGAGAACATTGCATAAGACTGAACTAATCCAACAGCTTGTGTTTGCGGAGATTTGCTGGCGTTAGCAGGTGTGATGCTGCCCGTTCTGTGCACGCTCTGGTTCGTGTTTCATACTGAGCAGGCTTATCTCACCACGCAAGCAAAATTTTTTTATTTTTCCATTTCCTGACCTGTGGTGAATCTGCATAGAGACAAGGCTGAGAAAAGCACCAGCTTACAAGCACTTGAGGAGACTGGCACCTAGCTGGAGAGGGCAGGCACGGCAGCTCCCCCTTTCTGTGTCCTTGAGCCTGCAGACGGGCTGCACTTGGCATAGGCAATGCCAGTAAAGCTGCTGTGTTGTTGTGGTGGTCTTCTGCCTCTGCAGAAGTTGGCTAGGGATAACAGCCTGCACTCTTGTGAGGCGGACCTGGGCTGTAAGCCCCTCATGGTAGGGATTCTGCCCGTATGAAATGTCTATTGCGAGGTGTTGTGGTTCCTTTCTGCAAGCACCCGATGGGCACAGAAATGCCAGTTGGCCTGCTTTGAGGAACCTTGTTCTGTGGCATCAGATGGCTGGAAAGCACACACCCTCTTCGTAATGCTTCAGTGCCGTGCCAGTGTCTCACCTCTTCATGTTGCTACATCTCTAAGCCAGGTTTCCAAGCCTGGCTCTGCTCTTCTTCCTCATGTAAGCAGCCCTTGTATGTTGCGACACTTGTTTTTTGTTTTTGCCCCCCATCCCTATGCCTACAGTAATCTGCAGCCTCTCACTTTCTGCTCCCCAAGATGGATCTGTTTTGCATGCTGAGTTTGTGACTAAGAAGCCAGGTGTGTGTGTGTGTCTAGCTAGGATCATATCTCGCCTCTGCAGCGTCATGATAACTCCCACTTCTAAACTCATGCCAGAAATACAGATTATTAAAGTAATAATGGTTGGTAGCATATAGTAAGTATAGTTACACCTGGACCAGCCTGGTGGAATTTAGTTATATGTTCACAATATTAAATTTGAACTGAATTAAGTCTAAAAAATTCCGAGGATAGACTTTACTTTTGTGATGTTCTTTCTGACCTGTCCATCTGTTTGTGTTCTTGATGGGGGTGCACATGCTCAGTTGACTAAAAAGGAGCTCTTACTGTGGTAACTCTCAGTATGCACACTATGCAGTATTAATATTTTAACACTGTTAACATAAAAATAAATTAGAAAATGCTTGTTTGTATGGATGTAAGTGTGATGAAGGTCCTTGATCAGGTTTCTTCAGAACTGACTTCTAAAATGTTTTCAAATGCCTAATAAAGAGTAGATTAAATCTTGGGTTTGTTATAAATGTTCATTTAGGTAATGAATATATGCCTTATTTTGACTATTAAAGACCTACTTCTAAGCACTAGCCCCAACTTGAAAAGTAGAACTGAATGAGGAGCACACAGCTGGTGTGAAATCAGAATGCAGCTGAAAGCAGTTATGATGGTACAACCTTCAACAAATTGGCTTATTCTGCTTTCCCAGTCATTGTAATTGAATTAGGGATGTTTATAACAATGTGTGAATGCATCAGTGTGCATGTAAAGTCTTTCTTGGCATACTTAAAGGAGCAGCTCTAGCCTAGTCTAGACCATCCCTGCTTGAAGACTTCTGAGCTTGCTAACCATCCTGTTCCTTGTTGCAGTTTATCATAGTGAATTGTGAATGCCTTGGACATTACAGATTTCAGGAACAATGCTTTTTGATCTTGGTTTAATCCTTCAAGCAGAAAGTTGCCTTTAAAAAGAAGACCTCAAACATGTTCTAGAAACACCGTGTGCTGGAGATTGAGTTTGTTTTAAATCACGTAATACATACGAAAAACAATTGTTAAAGTAACTTATTGGTGTTTTTGCTTTCCAGAAATGGAGGAACAGAATGCTGGGTCTGGGATTGAAGATTTATAAAGGATTATGGGATTATACATTGAAGAGCCAGCAGGCGGAATGCCTGAGTGACTGAAGAAAATGGGTGCTAATGCATCTAACTACCCTCACTCATGTTCCCCAAGGGTAGGGGGAAATTCACAGGCACAACAGACGTTCATAGGTAAGTCTCTTCAGTTATCTTGTTGCTTATATAGATGGCTCGCTGGATTGTATATACACTGGATTTGAATTCTTTGCAGTAATATTATGCCTAGTTTTTATTTTCTAGGTCATCAGTTTGTCTGTTCAAGCTCAGTAGTGCATAAAACTTGGTACTGTCCAATATCTGTTTGGCATACATATGCAATGAGTTGATCTGCCAGTTGCTAGTAAACAGATGCCAGGTTATTTATAAAAATAAAAAGTGTTCTTTGATAATTCAGCCATACACACTAGCTCTCACTGTTTGAGGAGCAGTTGCTATCTGAAAATAGTATTTACCATTTTGCACTCTTCCTCAGATTTTCAGTGAAACTGTGTTAGAGTACAAAACACTCCTGATCATCAGTACTCCTTGTAGTATTGGCACTGTGTCTGTAGGAGAGTGAATTACTTCCTCATTGCCAGAAAGGTTATCTCTACTAATAAACCTGTTCAAGTAACAAGCAGTCTGGAAGATAACTTCTCCTTATACCGTTTTCCTGTTTCTGCAAATCGGGGTGAGGAGAGGGGAGTTACTTCTGGTTTAGAATACCGTTAGGACAATAAAGTACCTCGCTGAAGTAGAAACTTGAGTAGATGTGCTCTTAAACTACCTTCTCATACCAGCCATAACTGGGGCAGGTACCAACTTTATATTCTTTTCAGTCTAGCAGAAAAAGACCTCAGTGGAGATCTAAGTACTGTCACACTATAAATAATAATTATGTGATGAATCTAAAAGAAGACACTACTTCAGAAGATAATCTAGTTTAGAAAAAACAACACCCTGACAGCCTGAAGAATGATCTTAGCAGTAAATAACATAAATACTTTATAAACACATTTCTTCTTTATGCCTTGGCTTGCAACAGTGAATAAGTAGCTAATGATATGCAGTGTTACTTCTATTTTTAATCACCGCTGAAAGCGCAGTGGAATTCTTAAAGGAAAAATAGACTTGCTTTATTTTTTTTATCTCAGCTTTTGTGACATTCCTAACTTATGGAGATCTGAGGAGAGGACAGCACACAAGTTCTTATATGTGAAAGTTCCTTCTCTGGATTAAAATTGGGTGTGCTAGTAGCAAGTCAAGAAAACTTTAGTACTAATGTCTTTTTTACCCATGCTGTAAAGTCCTCCTAAAGGCTTAGTTATGATACACTGAAAATACATTAAGAGTAGTAAAAGATATCTCAATTTATATCTATGTACTTCCTAAAATCACAGCTAAAACTTTTTCAGTGCACATCTTGGTGGGTTTTTAATTGGCCTTTATATAGAATGAAGAGAAATCCTAGCAGATCTGCGTGCCCAAACAGCACTTGCAGAGTTCATAAGAGGCAGAGAAGGTTCCAAAGGCTTCATCAGATTCCCTGGGAACTTTGTCCTTTGTGTGTGGAAGGTTTTCATGATGCTCTTCGATATTAAAACCCAAATAAAAACCTGTTATTTAGTGAGCTGTGAACTTTTGGATCCCCATTATCTACTGAAAATTGGAGTAGAGGCTTTTTTTGAGGAAGGTCTATAAGCATGTCATTGTATCATCTTAAGCAAAGAAAATGAGAGTTCTTATATTAAAAAAAAAAAAAGACTGAAATCTTCTGATATTATGTTGGCATGTACACGAGTAGTGTAACTGTGCTACCTGTGACACTGGCATATATTCCTCCTTTCTCCCTTGTGTTGGTTGGCTGTTTCTTGACTCTGGTTGGATGGATGGCTTTTGTAGCTGTCTCAGTAGAAAATAAAAGTCCTAAAATTGAAAGATGAGATTTTAATCACTTGTCAGAGTAATCATGTTTTTGTTATACATGAACTTTTACAGTTCCATTATGTAGAAGACATGAGGTGTACGTATTTGCAATTATGCTTTTGGGCAGCATGAAGACTGGTGATGTAAGAGCATGATATGTATTAATTGCCTTCTTTCTGGAAACTGGGTTCAGACCTGTGGGTTTGTTTAGACATGCTGCTTTGCCATTAAAGTAGCACCATGCTACAGTTTAAGTGTAGGATGAACACTGAAAGCAGAGAATTGATCTAACAAAGCACAGCATTTTCATAGTGTGACTTCCCATGTTAGTGAAATCAATGCTAAATTTGCTTGCAGATTTCAAAGAGGAGCTAAATCAATAAAAATGAAGTGCTCACTGTAAAAATACTTTTGTTTCAGCAAAGGCTTAACTAGTCATTCTCTTGCTGTTTTGTCTACAGCATTCAGAAGGAGGATTTCACACCATTTTCTAGGGTGGTACATCTGTTCAAGATGTTTGTTTTTTAAATACAGCTCTATAATTAGTTTTTAACATGTGTAGGCATGCAGAGGACTTGACAAATCCCATTATTCATTGTCAAGTGCCCTGGTAGTTTCTCTTGGCAATCATCTGTTTGTTATAAATATTTATCTGTTCAAACCTAGACATGGTCTAGGGGCATGAAGTAGCTATTGCTTTTTAACAACATTTAATCATAGAATCGTTTAGGTTGGAGAAGACCTCCAAGATCATCAAGTCAGCCATTAACCTAGCACTGCCAAGTCTACCACTACACCCTCTCCCCAAGCACCTCATCTGGATGTCTTCCGAATACCTCCAGGGGTGGTGACTCAGCCACTTCTCTGGGCAGCCTGTTCCAATGCCTCACAACCCTCTCAGTGAAGAAATGTCTCCTAATATCCAACCTAAACCTCCCCTGGTGCAACTTGAGGCCATTTCCTCTTGTTCTGTTTCTTGGTGCTTGGGAGAAGAGACTGACTCCCCACCTTGCTACAACCTCATTTAAGTTAGTTGCAGAGAGCAGTAAGGTCTCCCCTGAGCCTCCTCTTCTCCAGATTAAACAAACCCAGCTCCCACAGCCGCCCCTCATACATGTAGCACTTGTGTCCCAGACTCTTCACCAGCTCCGTAGCCTTGCTCTGAACACTCCAGCCCCTTGATGTCCTTCTTGTAGTAAGGGGCCCAAAACTGAATGCAGCACTCAAGGTGTGGCCTCACCAGAGCTGAGTACAAGGGACGATCATTTCCCTGGTCCTGCTGGCAACGCTATTCCTGATACAAGCAGGATGCTGCTGGCCTTCTTGGCCACCTGAGCACACTGCTGGCTCATGTTCAGCTGGCTGTCAGTGAGCACCCCAGGTCCATTTCAGCAGTACTAGACTTCCACCTTTTATTGTAGAAGAGGGGAGTAAATTCTTATTTCTGACTTCTAATGCCTCTGCCTGCTGAAGAAATACAGGTGGACCCAAAAGAGGCTTGTCAAAAACTTTCTTTCAGGGATGCTGAGCCCCCAGCTATTGGGAATCCAGAGAGGCTGTGCTAGTGCATCTCTTCTTCTGCAACTGGAGAAAAGCAGTTGCCACAGCTCTATTAATAGCAATGCTTTATCTAATTGTAGGACTTACTAGTGCTGTTTGCAGTGCTTCTGAAATTAAATCCTCTGTGTAGCGCAGGATGTACATAGGTTTGAATGGTATTTTAGTGTCTTGTGGTGATTCATGTGCAAGTAATACCTGATGGCAGCCTTCAGGGAAGAGAGAAATTGAGACTTCTGGTGTCCTAGTTTTTGTTTAGCAGAATGTAAGGGAATATTGAATGTACTCAAATTTGCCATTAGAATCCAAGATACTTGAAATAATAATGAGCTGGCTTGTTCCCTCAGAGCAGCATTGTTACAGAATGTCCAAAGTGTAGTTACTTTTATTGTGAAATGTAATCTATACTCTTTTTGAAAGTATAGTGAAATTGTAGGCTCATCTCTATCAGCAGGAGGCTAAATCTCCACTTTTCTGTTGTAATATCTATTATATCATGTAGAAGGAATATGGCAGATTTTACAGCGTGATCTCTTTGAAGTAGTTGTGAGTTACTAGTCTTTTCATTTAAATTGACTTTAATGTTGTGAAATTTCAATATAACTTACAATATGTTGCCTGATTGAGCAAAATTTAATGTAGCGTGGCTAAGATAGTCTTTCCTCAAAGAAAGTAAAGTTCCTTCGCAAAACTTTGACTAGTAGGTGAATTATAAAACCATTACACTGCATGATTTGGGAAGTTTTTAGTAGCTTGGCATAAAAGCCAGTGTATAGGGTTACTTAAAGTTAGTGAGGCTTAAATAATGAAACAATTTATGGTTATATTAAATTGCTAGATTTGCCATGTTCTCAGATACAACTTTGAATTGCTGCTGTCTTTTTCAAACTTCAAAAAATACCTATCTGAAATAATGTGGTAACTAAAACTGTACTTGGACAGACTGGCCCATAACGTCAAAATAGCATCACATCAAATCTGCCTGGAACAAATTGAACAGAGACAGACAGGTGACTGAAACAAGTTACAGAAGGCCACACAAACTGTGTGGTGGTTGGACGTGCTTTGAACTTAAAAATCCACAACAGGTAGTGAAGTTACACAAGTGTAGTAATAGAAACTTAAGAAATGTTCCCAATATAAGTATTTACAAATACATTTCAGGTTAACAGAGCCTGTTATTGCTATCAATCTTTATGCCATTTGGAAGCATCTTATTTTCATATATTGTCTGGAAGAGGTTGGTTTGGTGTACTTTTTTTCCTGTCAAGTCTGCATTTTCCACCATCTGTCTCAGAATGAAAACTCTGTAAATTAAGTTATAAAATAGCCCTTTACCCAGTGAGTCATAGTTCTGTTTAAACTATAGCTTTATTTTTTTATTAAAACTTTTAATTCAATTTTCCATTGCTTCTAAAAATGTGAATCCTAATTTCTTTTCTTACTGTCTGTGTTATTGTATATGTAGCTAACATCAAAATGGCCATCAGCAAATACTCATTTAGGAGAACAGGTCAGGAATGCAATGCAAATAACGTTGGGGGAAAATCTATATTTCATGGCAGGTTCGAATCACAATGTAATTTACATGTAAATGATCTTTGAAAAATAACATGCATTCTTTAGTTGCATAATGCTACTTTCAAAGGGAATCTTTAATATAGTAAAGTTTGCATATTCCGTATTGCTTTTAATGGGGTGTACACACAAATTGGCATCTGCTTTGTGGAACGGATCCCATTTTGTGTTTGATTTTCAGCATTACTTAATTATCACATGTAAGATTTCTATTTTCTTGTTGAAATTTGCATTGAAATTGGATTCATTGTCTTTAATTTTCTTGACAGTTTTGGTACTGTATTTTTATTTTTGTTTTTTTTCACCCTTTTTCCTTGTGACTCTGTTAGGTGTCTGCAGAATATGCTTTTCTTGTTGAAACGACACTTAGTGCTACAAGAACAGAATTTGAAAATTACTTTGGAAGATGAGGGGAGCTCACAGCTACTGTGAGACTACTGTTTCATTAAGTTCCTACAAGTTTTTTTTAAAAAGGCTGTGTTTTTGCATCTCTTAGAGCTAGTACAATGAAGCCTGTAACATTATGACCACAGTTCTCTCTCCTTGCTTTGATAAGTGTGCCATGTGCAACAGCTATATCAACTGGCACTGCCTGGCTCTTAGAACTGAGAAAATGAAGCTATAAATTTTAATAATTCAATAACATATTATTAAAGTATAGACTTCATAATAAATACAAGCTTATTAGATGAAGAAAAAGGCTTTTTGTTCTTAATAGCCAGAAAAGGATTCAGTCAGGTTTTCAACTTGTTGAATTATCTAATGTGTGGAGAAGGAAAAACAGTTAACTTAGAGACACTGATGGACTGTTTGAATATTGCAGACCTTTCGCTTAAAGAATAAATGTGTTTAATTTTCTTCCTTTTGTTTTGCCTTCAGGGACATCATCCTACTCTCATCAAGGTTATGGCTGTGAATCAAAGCTGTATAGCCTTGACCATGGCCATGAGAAACCTCAAGACAAGAAAAAGAAAACCTCTGGCCTTGCCACCCTCAAAAAGAAATTCATTAAGCGTCGGAAATCTAGCCGATCTGCTGATCATGCCAAGCAGATGCGAGAACTTCTCTCAGGCTGGGATGTCAGAGATGTTAACGCATTAGTAGAAGAATATGAAGGGACGTCAGCCTTAAAAGAACTTTATCTACAAGCTAATTTAGCAAGACCAGAAGCCAGGACGCTACAAAAAGACATGGCTGAACTTTATCAGTACAAATATTGTACTGATGTAGACTTAATATTTCAAGAAACTTGTTTCCCTGTGCATCGTGCGATATTAGCGGCAAGGTGTCCGTTTTTTAAGACGCTGCTTTCTTCCTCACCAGAGTATGGGGCAGAAATAATAATGGACATCAACACAGCTGGCATTGATATGCCTATGTTTTCTGCTTTGTTACACTACCTTTATACGGGAGAGTTTGGAATGGAGGATTCAAGGTTCCAAAATGTTGATATCCTCGTGCAGCTTAGTGAAGAATTTGGAACACCAAATTCCTTAGATGTTGACATGCGTGCACTGTTTGATTATATGTGCTATTATGATGTGGTTCTGAGCTTTTCATCCAACTCTGATTTAGTTGAAACTTTTGGTGGAAGTCAGAACTGTCTAGATGAAGAGCTCAGAGCTCACAAAGCTATTATTTCATCACGATCTCCATTTTTTCGCCACTTGCTGCAGAGGAGGATACGAACCGGTGAAGAAATCACAGACCGAACTCTACGAACTCCAACTAGAATTATATTGGATGAATCTATCATACCAAAAAAGTACGCTAAGGTCATCTTGAACTGTATGTATACAGATGTGGTGGACCTCTCAGTTTTGCACTCCAGCCCTTCGGTGGGCAGTTTAAGTGAAGTTCAGGCTCTTGTAGCAGGAAAACTGAACATGACTAGGGCTGAAGAAGCTATGGAGCTTTACCACATAGCACTGTTCTTGGAGTTTAACATGCTTGCACAAGGTATGTAATCCTGTCCTCTCTACAGAATAAATGACCTTATTTGAACATTTTTTTTTATCTTAAGAATAAGAATTGTTTGCATTGGAAAGTGCCTTCAAGATCATCTAGTTCTAACCCCCCTGCCATGAGCAGGGACACCTTCCACAAGACTAGTTAATTGTGAACAGCTTAAATGTCAGACTTGCTTAAGAAAACATTAATGCTAAATGTCAGTAGGAAAAGAAAAATGCACATTTCTGCAGTAGTCCAAACAGTTCCTTAAAAAGAAAGGAGGGGAAGAGGTATGGGTTTCTTCACTTTGTTCCATTTGAGGAAATCAACTTTCTTCACAGTCTTACCTGTGGAGAAGCCAGTAAATTGTCAGTGAAGCTTTGTCTCCTGTCCAGCTGTTGCTTTCTCTTCATGGTGCCTTTCAGTAATTCTCATCCTTCCTCTGCAGCAGGAGCAGAGTGTGCAGTGGGTATTATGCTTGCATGCCTTCTGCTTTCAGAAGGGGAAGAGTAAGGAACACTTGCTCGAGTTTCTGCACTGTGCTCATAGTCCGATTAAAATAGCCTTCCCCCAAAAAATTGGGAGTTCTATTCACTCGTATTTCAAGTGCATCTTTTTTCAAAATGTTAATTGAAGAAGATTACAGCTATTGTACACTTACATTTAAATAAGGAAGTATAAATAGGAGCAGTCTGTGGGATCCATTTTTTTTTTGACCTGAGTGTGAATGCACCTCTGTTAATTTGTCACTTCGGTGCTGGAATCCTACATGTCAGCCACCTGTATTGTATGTGGAAAGGGTGCTGTTGCTGGGGGTGGTGAAAGTTGGATTTCTTTCTGCATCTGAATGAGCAGAACTAGCAGTGTCTATTCTCACGGAACAGTTCAAACGCTATTCCTAGGGCAGCTCGCCCTGTATCCTGGTCAGCAGAAGCTGTAAGTCGGGATGTCTGTCTCTGTGAAGAACTGAGAAGCTGCTATGTTCAAGTCTTCTCAGTTCAAGCTGAGGTTTTGAAAAGTGCTAACTACTTCAACTGCAGTTTTTATTCCTCTTTTGTAGAGTGTGTATTCCTTTCTGAAAATAAGGCCCTTTACTGCATTCATGGTACGAAGTCTAGAATTGCCAGCTTTCTTTTTGAAAACCATTAGTTTGTCTGCACTCTCTTTTACAGTGTGCGTATGCATAATGAGTCTTTCTATCAGTGGCTGGCAAGTACTTGAAGAAAAAGAATTTATTTCCTATCTGTAAGTTGGAGATAATGCATCTGTGTTTTCTAGGGAGAGTAGAAATGCCATATGAGGGCTTTTAGCCGCAATGAGCGTCATTATTGAAGCATGCTGTTTATTTCAAATATGTGTAACAGGTCTTTATTTCTGATCTTTATCTACTTTCATTTACAATCCCTTTTTTGGGCCTAAATGAGGTATGGGGTGGAGGATACAAGGGATTCTTGTTGAGAGAAGGAAATAGCTAGCGTTACTTTGAAGTAATCTTACATATTAGCAATAAATTATTATTTCTGTGGCTTATGTCAAAGCAGGCACACGAAGCTTACAGTCATGCTGTTTGAACATAAACATAAAAGGTTTAATTGCACAAGTGCTGCAGGACTTTGGTATTTATGTGTTAATAAGCAGAACTGAATTGGGGTCAGTTAGTGTTTTCAGCCCTAAAAGGTTTCACTTCTGTCCATTGTTCTTGAAGATCACGCAACTCTGGATAGCTTTCTTCCTGCACATGAGGGCTGGCCAGGATTGTTGGAGGCTGAGATTGCAGAGCATGATTGCTGAACTGGTATCTCCTGTGGTAGCCTGAGCCTTGCTTGCTGTTTTACCTGTTGGGGTTCAGTGGCTATGCTGTACATAATGAGATACTGCAGTTGCTTCCCACCTTGATGGTGATAGTTTTACTTTTGAGGTGAGAAATTGAGAATGGAGTTCCCTGAGATCAGTGACGTGATTTACTTAAGCTAGCTTAATTCAAAGAAAATAACTTTCTACAGTAGATCTGTACATCTGTAACTTCTAGCTGTCAAATTATACTTGTCAAGATTGAAGTCTTTGTATTACAAACTATCAAACCGACCTTCTTAGAATTAGGAAACTTAAGGACTTGAGGACTAACAGATAAGAGCAGCTATAAGCACTACATGAGGAGATCATACCCAGTTTCTTCAAACCATCAATAGGTCCTTCAAGGAGCTGCATCTAACTTCGACAAAAGATATGGGGAACTAATCAGTAACTGTTGAATCTTCCCTAGAGGCTGCTATTAGGAAACTGATTTTCAGATGATGCTAGAAGCTGAAATAATTCTGCTGAAATAAACTGCCAGGAAACGGGGGAGAGTTCTTTTCTGAGATATCTCACAGAATGAGAATGAGGTGTCCTTGGACTTGATTGTGTTGTTGTTCCCCTCTAAGTACACCTAGAAACTGAACATTAAACAGAATGCAGAAGAGGCATAAAGTTTTACTATGGTTGAAGTGGTGTTGGATTCATTCCTATACAATATATCCAAGCTCATACTACTTGAGAGCAGGATAATTCATAGATCGGCTGAAAGCAGGAAAGGAAAATGAGTTGAAATGAGGAAGGTGCTGCAAGTGCACAGTTTCTCAGTGTCTGATTATTTTGGTGCATGCACTTATACAAGTGCTAAAAGGATTTAGCATGCGCAGGGAATGCTAATGAGGGAATTAAACTGTGAATGAAACCCTCACTAAGACACTGAATAATTAGTCACTGTTTCATAAATGAACAGGGTGTGATTCTTTCCCTCGGATTGGAAATCTGAACTGGAACAACTGAGGAATTTGAAGGTGCTCTGAAGGAGCAGCGTAACTTCTCTCAAAATCAGATCAGTGTGTCGTAAATCAGCGCTCTTCAGTAACATGCTGTGGGTCAGTACTTGCCTTAAAATATGTTGTATGAGTCAGTGGGAAGAGGTCTTAAATTTTCTTAATGGAGGGGGTTTTTGCCCACCCTGAGGGAGGGCAAGGAGAAGCTCCCACAGCTGCAGCAGCACCACCCAGTGGTGGCTGGAACCGTGTGAGCCTGGCCCCAGCTGTGTGCTTGGGGGGCCTGAGCTGTGAGCTTCTTGGGGATGATGACTGGCAGTAGGTGCAGGGATGTACTGGCCATCAGGTCTCCTCTTTGTCTGGTAAATCTGTGCCTGACCACGAAAGTGGTGAGCTGTGTAACGGTGAGGTAGTGTTGGGGCGGGAGGCTGCTGTCCTTAGGGGAGAAATGTAATAAAATCGGGGAAGGATTGAAATTTTGCTCTATTATGGAACAGTAGCAAACAAATTCTGGATGTTCTCCCCCCCTCCCCCAGCCACCCCTTCAGACTTGGAAATTCCATTTGATAACTTAATTATGATTTTATGGCTAGATGCTGTGCTACCTAGATGCAGGAGAAAGAAGTAAGCAGTTTGTAGAAAATCTGCACATGCCAGTGAAATCAGTATCCAGCAGTTTCATACTGAATTAGCATGCTGAGTTCGTGCTTAGGTCAAACTGTACTGTGCTGGCACTAAAGAATTGCTGTGGTTTAATCCTATAATCAAAATTAAAAGGAAGCTTATTAGATCAGGAAAAAAACAAACGCCTGCACTTGACTAGCAGATCACTTAAAATATGTGCTTTAGTAGCAATTGCACCTTACTTCAGTACGTACCACAGTACCTTGTCCTCCCCTAGCAGGTGCGATACTTCACATGAGAGAGCTGAGTCTCCAGGTGAGTGGTGTCCCTCCTGTTCCCTGATTCACTGCTCGCACATTTCTGTGCTGGGAGCTGTCACTCGGACATCTGACTTGCAGGCGTTGTGCAGAGCGGTTCTGGAAGAGGCAGCACTGTGTGTTGTGGTTAGAGCCCGCTGCGCTGGCAGTTCTTGTGAAACCTCCCAGCTCAGTCCTCTGACAGTGCTCTTCTCCCCCCCGGGCCGCAGGCAGCAGTTTCACCCAGGTTCTGTGACCCATCTCATCGCCTGGCGTTTGCGGTAGCTGATGTCTCAAGTTTCTTCTCTCAGCTTCCACACACACACCCCGGCTCAAGTTCTTGATTTGGCTCGCTCATTCTGGCCAATTCCAAATATACTAAAGCTTGTCTCCCTGGTTTCCTGCAAAATATTTTGGGTTCATTATGTGCAGGTCTGGATCCTCTTTCCAACTCGTTTTGCTCACTTTACCCAATTCTGGCTGGATATTTGTAGCTGAGTGTCGAGTGAAATTGATGGATTTTAAAGCTTCTGATCATTATTTTTTTTTTTATTTCCAGCTGATTTTAGCCTGATTTGTCTTCGGGGTCCTTTCTAAGTGTCCAGATGTCGTTTTTCATCAGTTTCAGCAATGATTCAGCTTTGACTCTTTCTATGGAAATTGGCCTGTTCCTAACACAGCCGTGCTCCCTTTTCTAACTGTATTTAATAGATTGCTTCCCTGTGATGAAGTCAGTGATGGTTTGGGTACGTGCTAAGAATCTTTACTCTCCAAGTAAAGCAAGCCCACTTAGAATTTACTTGGCTTCAGCTTGACTTAATGATCAGCGTAAATCATTTATATTCCAAAAGAAATTGAATTGGGTCTTTCAGTGAAGTAATATGAATAAATGAACTAATCAGCAATCATTTCATCTACAGGTCTCATCATACCAAAACCCATTTGTACCTAATAACCCAGAAACTGTTATTAGGCATGCTGCAGTATTTGGTAACTATGAGGAAGTGAAGCTCTTAACTGCTTTTGCAGAGGCTGTGTGGATTTGAGCCTTCTCTGCGATGCTCGAGCAGAGCCCTCAGGGGAATGTGGTTGCATTCTGCCTGTTGTACTCCTGTTCCTGCTTTTGTCGTCTTGCTGCTCTCCAACAACTCCACTGGTGATTGTTTTAGCACACTGGCTCACAAAACTGGGTGTAAAATCTCTTAGCCCGTCCTCCTCGATAGCACCATTATTAAAACCAGTTCGCTTCCCTAATCCTATTCCCTGTGCATGGTTAGAACAATCCCCC